TGACCATGTCCATTATAGATTGTCAAGTACTTTAGATAATGGCATAGTTCTGCCATATGTTGTTTCCTGTGACTCGCTCTTGGTGGATTGTTTCCATTGTGTCTTATTTGAGATGTTACCTCAGTAGAAATATTGTGTGTGTGTGTGTGTGTGTGTGGTTTTTTTTTTTTTCTTCTTCTTCTTCTTGAGATAGGGTCTCACTATGTAGCCCTGGCTATCTTAGAGCTCACTATGTGGACCAGGCTGGCCTCGAACTCTGAGAGATCCCCGCCTCTGGTCCCTGAATGGATGCTTGCTTAGGCAATTTTTTTTAACATTTTATTTTAAATTTGTATCTATGAGTGTGTGTGTATGTGCTCATGTGCCTGTGAGTGCAGGTGTTCAAGGAGGCCCAAAGTGTTGGAGCCCCAGGAGCTGGAGTTATGGGTGGTTGTAAAACTACCCAAATGTGGTTGCTGGGAATTGACTGGAATATTCCAGAAAAGCAGCAAGGGTTAACCACTGAGCCTTCTCTCTAGCCCTTCAGTTGAAGGGCTTCTCCCTGGGAAGCTTGGTCTCTGCTCAGGAAGGGGAGAAATGGAAAAGTTAATGAGCACCAGAGAACAAATGGCTACAGCTGGCTCACTTTAATTTTGTAAGTGGAAGAGCCAGGATCCCATTTAATCAGGAGCTTAAGAGCAGGGTGCTGGGCAGGTAGCTCAGTTGCTGCTATTCCACGTGCACCAGGACCTGACTTTGATCCTCTGCACCCATGTGACAATCCTGGTGTTGTGGCACACGCTTAGGATCCCAGAGCTGGTGAAGGAGACGGGCAGATCCTCAGAGGGTGCTGAACACCCTAGCCAAATCAGTGAGTCCTAGATCCCAGTGAGAAACCTTGTCTTAAAATCAAGACAGAGGGCCAGCAAGAAGGCTTAACGGTCAGAGGAGCTTGCCACCAAGCTTGGCAACCTGAGTTCTGTCCCTGAGAGAGAACTCACTCTGAATGTCTGAGCTTCAAACACACAAGATAAGTAAATGTTTTCAAAAAAGCAACTGCCAGGCGTGGTGGCGCACGCCTTTAGTCCTAGCGCTCAAGAGGCAGAGGCAGGCGGATCTCTGTGAGTTCAAGGCCAGCCTGGTCTACGTAGTGAGTTCCAGGACAGCTGAGGCTACAGGGAAACCCTGTCTCAAAAAGACCAAAAAAAAAAAAAAAGCAACCGAGGCAGGATTCTCAAGGTTTACCTCTGGCCACAACATACACACATGTGAATCCATACAGACACCTGCACATTAGGCACAAAAAACCTGGGTGCAGTAGTGCACGTCTGTAATCCCAGCATCAGGAGGAATTCAAAGCCAGGCTGCACAAGAACCCCATGCTCCTGCCCAAGGGACAGCAGAGTGAATTGCACCCTCTTATGGTCAAATCTAGGAACTGCATCTTCTCAGATTATCCTTGGAAGACCAAATCATCTTGAGACCCGTTGGCTCCCCGTGGGTCACCAGGAATCAGTTGAGGATGTCCTGGTTTGGTATACTCGCAGTTTACTATCTTATGGTAATGTAACCCACGCCCTTCTATAAAAGGTTTTATTTACTATTTATAATTTGTGTGTGTGTCTGTGTGTATCAGTGTCTTGCCTGCAAGTATGTAAGTGCAATCCTGTCGTGAAATGCCCATGGAGGTCAGAAGAGGGTGTTGGATTGTTGGATGCTCCTGCAACTGGAGTCACAGACAGTTGCCCACTATGCAGATGGTGGGACAGCCAGTGCTTGTAACCTCTGAGCCATTTCTCCAGCCCTATTTATCTTTTTTTTTTTTTTCCTGGTGTTTTTGAGACAGGGTCTCCTTGTAACCCCAGCTGGCCTGGAACTCACTACGTAGACCAGGCCGGCCTTGAACACACAGAGATTCACCTGCGTCTGCCTCCCAAGTGCTGGGATTAAAGGTATGCACCACCGTGCCTGGCTCTGTTTATCATTTTTACGTGTATGAGTGCTATGCCTACATTACGTGTATGAAACACGTTTGTACAATGCCCATGGAAGCCAGCAGAGGGCGTCAGATCTTCTGAAACTGGAGTTGTAGATGGTTGTTGGCTGCCATGTGAGTGCTAGGACCTAAACTGTAAGAGCTGCCAGTTGTCTCAAACACAACCATCTCTCCAGCTCCCCCCCCCCACTCCTTTTTCTTGAGACAGTGTGTCACAGCCCAGGTTACATATGTAATGGAGATGACACTGAACTTTTTGTTGTTGTTGTTCTTTTTTAAGACAGGGTCTCCCTGTAGTCCCAGCTGGCCTGGAATTCACTATGTAGACCAGGCTGGCCTCAAACTCACAGAGATCCGCCTGCCTCTGCCTCTTTAGTGATGGGACTAAAGGCATGCGCCACCACACCCAGCCATCTTAATAATCTTTAAACCCACTCCCCCACTGGAACCTTCCCATAGCCCCCACCCAATTTCATGCATTCTGTCCTTTATGTTAAGACCTATCAAGTCAAGTTAGTGTACCCAGATGTCCCTCAGTGCAAGTTCATCCACTGGTGTCTAGTCAGCCTATCTAGAGTTGCTCCTTAAAGAAGATCAGCTGTCCCTCACCCAGCAGTAATCAACTGCCAATAATTCTTTGACTAAGATTGGGGCCTGCTGCCCAGTTCCACAGTTATATGCTGGGTTTTTGTCTGCTTGAGTTTGCATGGGTCTTGTGCAAGCTGACACCATTGCTGCAAGTTCATATGAGCAAGTCCCAGGAGTCTATAGGATTCTATTTCCATATGGTCATGCACCTCCTCCCTGGGTCTTACAGTCTTTCTGCCCCCTCTTCCACAATGGTCCCTGAGCCCTGGGTGGGTGGAGTTTAACATAGTAGTTCTATTCAAGGACCCAAATTTTAGCTTACTATACAAAATAATCACTTTGATACTAGGTCTTGCTATGTAGTCCAGCCTGACCTTGAATTAAAAATAACTTTTTAAAAATTACATTTATTTATTTTGTGTGTCTGCCTGTTTTGGGAATTGTAGGAGCCACAGTACATGTGTGGAGGTCAGAATACAACTTGCAGGAATTGGTTCTCTCCTATCATGTGGGACCTGGGGATTGAACTCAGGTTGTCAGACTTGGCAGGAAGCACGTTTACCTGCTGAGCCATCTCACCAGCCCTAGCCTTGACTTTCTGGCAATCCTTCCGCTTCATCCTCCCAAGTGCTGATTACCATCAGGCACCGCCAGGCCCAGAAAGCACCGTTCTGTTTGAGTCACATCATCTCCACAGTCTGTCTTTGTCAGGATGGCCTGCCGTGGCATCATGCCATCTCTAACTGTTCAGGTTGCCTCCTTCATTTAGAAACATCCTTGAAGCCAGGCCTGGTGGC